CATGCATTTTAATAGGACTTCAGCTCTTTCAGACATTTCTACAGTTTCAATGATTCAACAGTTTCAAGGATTCAACAGTTTCAAGGATTTCAGCAGTTTCAAGATTTCAAGAGTTTCAAGGACTTCAACAGTTTCAAGGACTTCAGCAGTTTCAAGGACTTCAGCAGTTTCAAGGACTTCAGCAGTTTCAAGGACTTCAGTGTAATCATGCAACCTAATAGGGATTTTTCCATGTAAACCAGTATAATGCAACTTAATAGGGATTTTTCCATGTAAACCAGTATAATGCAACTTAATAGGGTTTTTTCATGTAAACCAGTATAATGCAACTTAATAGGGTTTTTTTTCATGTAAACCAGTATAATGCAACTTAATGGGGATTTTTCCATGTAAACCAGTATAATGCAACTTAATAGGGGTTTTTACATGTAAACCAGTATAATGCAACTTAATAGGGTTTTTTCCATGTAAACCAGTATAATGCAACTTAATAGGGTTTTTTCCATGTAAACCAGTATAATGCAACTTAATAGGGTTTTTTCCATGTAAACCAGTACAATGCAACTTAATAGGGATTTTTCCATGTAAACCAGTATAATGCAACTTAATAGGGTTTTTTACATGTAAACCAGTATAATGCAACTTAATGGGGATTTTTCCATGTAAACCAGTATTATGCAACTTAATAGGGATTTTTCCATGTAAACCAGTATAATGCAACTTAATAGGGTTTTTTCATGTAAACCAGTATAATGCAACTTAATAGGGTTTTTTTTCATGTAAACCAGTATAATGCAACTTAATGGGGATTTTTCCATGTAAACCAGTATAATGCAACTTAATAGGGGTTTTTACATGTAAACCAGTATAATGCAACTTAATAGGGTTTTTTCCATGTAAACCAGTATAATGCAACTTAATAGGGTTTTTTCCATGTAAACCAGTATAATGCAACTTAATAGGGTTTTTTCCATGTAAACCAGTACAATGCAACTTAATAGGGATTTTTCCATGTAAACCAGTATAATGCAACTTAATAGGGTTTTTTACATGTAAACCAGTATAATGCAACTTAATGGGGATTTTTCCATGTAAACCAGTATTATGCAACTTAATAGGGATTTTTCCATGTAAACCAGTATAATGCAACTTAATAGGGATTTTTCCTTGTAAACCAGTATAATGCAACCTAATAGGTTGCATTATACCACCAGACCAAGACCCAAACGAAGACTCAGACCACCACCAGATAATGACCACAGACCAGGTTTCCTTAGTTACAGGAACCAAATTGTTTCAGCGGTGAGGGGATTTTTCAGTTTCAAGGACACTTTCAATACATTCAGTAGTTTCAAGGATTTCAACTGTTTAAGAATTTAACCAGTTTCAAGGATATCAGGAGGTTCAAGGATTTCAGGAGTTTCCACACTTTCAACAGTTTCCAGGTTTAAAAAAAGTTTCAAGGATTTCAGGAGTTTCAATGTTTCAACAGTTTCAAGGATTTCAGGAGTTTAAAGGTTTCAACAATTTCAAGGACTTCAGGAGTTTCAAATATCTATCAAGTATTTTAACAGTTTCAAGGCCTTTTAAAGGATTTCAAGGATTTTTTTTAGCAGATTTCCACATTAGATCTGTTCCGCAGTCAATCGCAATGGCTTCAGCCATTGCAAGTTTCTAGTTAATATTTAGACATGATGTGGGAGGATCCAGTCCAAACTAAATGTACATCAGCAACATGTGCCTTTGATCTGCCGAGATAAGCAGATCGATCGCACTTCGGTGGGAGGGCGGCCGAACGAAAAGGGAAGAGAGGTCGTGTAAGTGCGGTTAGAGTTGGACACAAATTAGCCAACTCCGCACCTAGCATCATAATGGATTTCTCAAGAAAGTTTTTCTTCCGCCACAAAAGGTCAAACAAGGAACAACACCCCAAATATCACCCTGCTCTCGAAGGGCGAGACAGAGTTTCTGGTTTAAACACTAATGGGAGGTTAGCATCACCTTTGCATTGTCCTAATCATTATGTATTTATGAGTTTTAACTGTTGAGCATAAAGTTGCTTGTATGTCGAGCATATTCCTTTTCCTCGTTGATTTAATGAGAGTCGATCGACGCCTTCGAGTTTTCTGAAACTTTCCCTGTAAATCTGTATATGATGTTAGCATAGTGCTGTTTAAAGAATAGTGCATATGTTGCTGTAGTAGTCATAGCACGATAGACTTTTTATGGTTTTAGGGATTAGAACTGTACATTTACCACCTCTGGTTATTTAAAATTCTCATTTAAAAGTTCTTGCTGTTTGCCAGTCTAGGGATGGGCTGAGATTTAGGTTTGAGAATAAGGAAAGTTGTCGACTGATTTGGCATTTGTCTTTCTGACAGCGGCCATTGTTGGTGAGACGTAACAAAATATGATGGAGGAGGAGGCCTTCGGGGGCTCACGGCTGCGTCCTCGGTGTCAGCAAACACAACATGTTACTTTATCTGAACAGAGGGGGTGGAGCCAGTTGCTCTGATGGATCACTCCCTGTCTCCTGGCGGGACTCCGGGGGACCGGGACAGTCCCCTGTGTCCATGGAGCCAAAGGCCACAAGCAAAGTCTAAACTGACTATTGCTGCTGTTGTGTCACCCGCTTCCCCAAGGACTGATACCTTAATCATTGTACTTAGCGGGACAAAGATGTGTAACTGGTCTGACAATAACAGGTGTGTAAGTTTTCATATCGTGACCTGCTGCCTGATATGGCACAGAGCGTGAAACCTCTGAATCCAGGTCAGCGATGGCGATGATCCTGAGAGGAGAGTAGGGGGCAGTGGGGGCAAAGATGTAAAGTGACACAGACTTGACTTTGGCTCACAACATGATAGCATTGTGCACATCCCTCCAGGACATTTGTGAAATGAAAAAAGCGGTTTTATAATGAGCACATTCAAAAGCCACAGACAACTAGTGATACACCTGCATCACTGTTGTGTGGTGACGGTCAAAGAGTGGTGTAAAGGTAGACTCGTAAAAGTGAATAAATCAGACCACTCATTTTTTATCACTTGGCTTTATTTAGTCACTTGATTTTATCATAGATAATATGCAAATTAACTGTTATGTTAAAGATATATAGGAGCTCGTATCACCAGAATGATTGATAATTGGGAGGACCAATAGTCTTGATGATCCACCCGGAAGTAGAAAGTCCTACTATATACCTTTAAACACATAAATAGTTGCAGCCGTCAATCCATTTATGTGCAGACTGTTTTAATTTTATATTTTTAAGTGTAACGAGGAAGCATCTTATAATGATGTGTACACCGTTCAACTGCAAGAGGACAGTTTTTATTATAATGCATGAACAGCAACAACAATCCAAGTCATGACATGGCATGGCAAGCTCTGTCATGGTTCCAACACCTCTTTACGCAAAAATAGTGTTCATGAATAATTGTTAATTGATTGATATATTCATAAATTCCATCCTCTTCTTCAAAAAGTGATATCTTAGCAGCGTAAAATGGTCTCTCTTAGAGGGGTCTGTGTCTGTGCAGGCTGTGCTGATGAGGCAGCAGGATGAGAGCTCAGATGAAGGAGCTCACAGAGGCTTCCCCATCTGTTCCACTGGGCCTAATTGTTTCGAGGTGCAAGATGCAGAGTACAAAAATGCGGAAACACAACTTGCTTGTCCAATGTCCCAGGGATAAATCTGTAACATTAAAAGAGCCGCTTCACAACACATATCGTCACCATGTAAATACTTGGCTGAATTCCCAGCTAATGAATGTCATTTACATTTCCAAACAAAAATTAATTATCGACTGAAGACCACTCTCCTCCCACACGGAGAAAAAGGTGTCTGCTGCTATATATACAATATTTGTCTATGTTAGATATGGTTCTAACACCACAGGCAACCTCCCAATTAAGGTCTACTTAACAATATGGTGGAACAGGAGATGCCAGAGAAGGGAGCACAGAGGTGGCTCTGAACCTGCAGTGTCCTGTGAGCAGCATTCACTGGAGCTTGGGATGTTGGACATTGTTTTTATGAAGTGGGTGGAAAAGAGACTTGTGCCGCTGTGGAGCCTGCTCCCAGTTACAAAATAAGGCCAGGAAAACAAACACAGGCCTCAAATTAGATTTCCCAAAACATATCATTCCCTCTCATTTTACACACCACTGTGGCCTGCAGACCAGAATAGAAGAACCGTGAAATGCTCTGCGTCTGGTGGACTCAGTGGAAGATTTGACAGACAAAATTCTTCTGATCTGGACCAAAGAAATGTCAAAAGTCTCAATAACCCAACATGCATATGCTTATTTTCAGGCGTGACCTTAAATGTGCACCTCTGAAAGTCCTGCTTTGTCATTGGCCAGAGAGAACGCACCGACTCAGGGGTCTGAGTGATGGGTCCAAGGGACAATGAGAGCAGTGAAAAACATGCTCCTTCATACACTGCAGTTCTTAAATGTGGAACTTTGGCTTCAGGAGAGACAATAGTTCGGAAGCAGCCACGAGAGGAAAAATCAAAGAAAAACATCAAAGATTGGCTATGGAAAACACAAAACAGAAACGCTCACTGTCTGCAGATCAAAAAACAATCCCTACAGGTAAAGAGTCCTCACTCTGGCAAGCGTACCCAACCTTCAATACATTTAGAAAACGTTTTATTAGTTTCAAGTGAATCAAATTTATATGGGGGAAAAAGATAGTCGCAATATATTTTGTCATCAGTCTTTTTCCAATATTGTGCTGCCGTAATAGAAAACCCATTACACACCCTTTTTCTCCCAGCCGCTAATGACATTTCCTGAATACATTTCTTGAAATTGGGTATAACATGCCATGGAATTTATCAACTGGATGGGAAGAAGTTTGGGCCAATAGCAATCACAATGGGTATATTGGTCGATCTTGAGTACACAGAACTGAGAAGGTCCGGATCCAGCACTCAGTCTGCGTGTGCCGTTTGTAAAGGGTGATAGTGAAACCTAAACCTGATGTTAGGATGCTCCTCAGTCTGAGTAACTCCTCCTTCATCTACGGCTCGTGTGTGCGTGGGCCGCCCCAGCACATGCACTTAACCCAAATGAAGGAGCAGACGGGAGAAGGGTTATTCCTGACGGCAGTGGCAGCGTTTGAGGTGTGGGCCTCCTCCTGTGAGCCAGAGACTTTGATAGCACTGGAGCTGAAAGGGTTACACTGAAAAAGACCTAGAGCTGCATAGAAAGTTGAGATGCATTATATAGAGATCCACACTGGTAAGTCCAACAAATGAAATAACAATGAAAAGCCATGGTATGATAAATGGTATTAAGTTGCACTACAATTCACCTTGTTGTGAAAGTGGTTTGATTATTGAAGTTCTCTTGATATAGAAAAAGTGATATACAGTATAATACTCGGATGAACCCACTGTAAATACTGAAATCGTGTGGTGAATTATGATGGTTTTCACTCGTGTGTTTGCACCTGCTTCATTTACAGTACGGCCCCTGGACTAGGACCTCCCCTCTCACTTGGTCTTGTGTGTCAGACGTGCCCAGTGGAGCCAGGGCTTTTTGATAATGGATAACTGTGAGAACACTACAGTGGGAGGGGTGGTGGTGCACACATACTATTCCATGGACATTACTCCTACCCCATGTACAACTTACTGTAGCCCCTCTCACTCCCTCCCTGCTTTACGACTGGATTCTGTTACTGCTCCCTGGCTCACCTCTGAGTGTGAAATGAGTCTGGCCTTTCCTCGTCAGCCCGCCCCATGGAGCTCGCAGACACACGAGAGACGCACAGACAACACTGATTCTGTTTGGAGTCTAAACATGGAGGGCTTTAAGGCCATTTGAGTGCCTATGTATCGACACAGTATATCAATGGACTGGCTGTATACTTTACACTGTGCTGAAGTAAACAACAAAAGCTAAGATATTAAATATTCTAGCATTTCTGTATTAGCCTGCAGTCCTTTTCCTCCCTCTTCCTGTACTTTCTTTGGCCTGTTCTTCTTGGTGTCTCTAGGGGAGGGTGAGGGGCGCGCCCCAGGCTGCTGCAGGTTAAGCAAGTTCTGAGGAGTGCGAGAATAATTTTGGATATGCTATATTTCATCATGTGCTGATGTCAGAAGTGAGTTTAAGAAGCAAAGGATTATGTCCTGATGCGTCACTAATGGCATTTGGGTTTTGTACTGAACAGGAACAGCACAGCTTGACGGTTGGATCTGGGATTAGTTTAAACTATTGTTTTGTGACCTTTTCTTTTCAGGATATTGTCCCCTACTTTGAATACCCTACTCTGAAATGGTCTCAAGTTATCATATTTAGTATAGGTAAAAGCAGAGCATTCTGCTTACAATACATTACCCATGTTTGTTGGGAAAGTTTCCTTGTAGACAGTAAAGATCCACAGTAAAAATAGACACGTGTTGGAGCTGAGTTCTTCAGATGGGCTTCCATGGCACACAGTGAACCGTGCTGGTTCAAAGACAAGTGCTGTCAGAACCTGTGGCACTGGATTTGAAAGAGCTCTGAAGTTTTTGAAGACATCTCTGTGCAGAAGGTGTAAGTGAATAAACAGATAAATACGTGTGGCCCTGGCAGGAGCGTCCCACTGGCCAGAGGCCAAACAGGTAATTCCTCAGGCATAGTTCTGGAAGGACCTGAGTGCACCAAGGTGCCTCAGCAGTCAGAATGTCTGCACATTTGTGCCACTGATGGCATACCAGCGGCGCCATTTTCCTCTGTGAGATAGACAAGCCGGAGGATCTGATTGGCTATCTGCCAAAGCGTGCTCACAAAGACTCCTTTGACAGCAGGTCAGTCGGTTAACCAAGCAGTGGGCAGGGCGAGAGAAAGAGATACGCCACAAAAAGCGCCTTTTGGGTTCATCATTTTTGTGTCTGCCACTCTGGAAATTTTAAGTAGATGTGTTAGAGCTATGCAAAGGTAAAAAGTAAATTCTATCAAAACATACTAGCAATCATATGAACTGTGTGTGGGCCTGCAGGCCTTCTGTGAGGATCATGTACCACTCCTTTGGTATGCAAATCATTCATTAAGTTTATGAGTATGTTTCATTCTATAGGTACCTTTCTGTTTCAATTAGCTGCTGAAAATAATTGTCAAATATGCTGTATTTTTTTATGAATGTGTCACACATACTCTAAACCTCGTTAACCACCATGGTGGGGATGGAACTACTGAGTTTCCCAGAACTGTAGTCTGGCTTATTCCTGGACTGTAAGTCGTTTAGTTGATTAATCGGTCTGACCAGCATTTAGTTGACTCATTTAGGAACAAATGGGATTGTGATTATTAGTTTAATGGGCTTTAGTCACGACTCCTTTCAAGTTAATTAATTGATTGCCAAGGCATGCCTTTGGGCAACAAAACATTTCTTTGGTATACCTACTTACTAATATGACCATGTTTTGTCTTAAACTGGACCTGGAGTTGTTCACAGCAGTGAACTGGAGTCTCGTATCTCTCCATCCTGAAGCGTGTGCGGGAGCTGTTCGGGCCTCATTATCTCTCCGGTCCAGGCCTCGCTCCTGAGCTCCTCCCCTGTGTACCGGCCGCTTTGCATATGTCTGATGTTTAAATGCTGCATTGTTAACTGACGTGGGGTAGCCCTTTGCTGACCCGGGAGGTATTTGCTCGTTTGATCATGGGGCAGCAGTTTTAATGTATCGAAGCAAGGCCCGCTCACTAAAGCCCCTGGTAGGAGCGCAGGCGATGGGGTGCAGGCTGGAGGACGGATGGATCCATAAAGTTTGTGGGTCCTGACAGCAGAGGAGCAAGGTGATTATGAGAATATGTGATGGTCAGCAAGGCCAGGGGCGATGCTGCTGACCCGGCACTTCCCATTTTGCTGCAATGGTGCATGTTGGTTTTTTAGGTTACAAGAGATGTGCCAAAGAGCGGAGATCAGTGCCTCTGACATGGTGTTGAAGTTTGTTCTTTTAAAATCTGATTTTTGGAAGATTATTTGAACTTGTTTCCCGTCTTGTTCTGTGCTGCCTGTTTAGTGTCATTGGCCTCAAGGGTTTGTTTCTTCACTGGCAGAAAGAATTCATTTTTATCTGAAAGTTTAGATTTTTGTACGAGTCGATAAATACTGTATGTACTTGCAGGCTTTGGCTAGATTTTTTTTGTAGCATCCACCTGGCTTTCCCTTGTGTCACTGGGCTGCTGAATCCCACTTCGCCCACTGACAACACAACAGAAAGGAGCTTTGAGAAACGGTATGAAAACAATGACACAAACAGTGTACAGGTTTGTGTTTACACCCTGGGAACTGTAAGAAGACCCCGACTCTGCTGAATCTGACCCAGCCCTGGACGCTCAAAGGACAGTATCGAACGGCTGGTTCCCCTCTCCTCTGGCCTCTAGCTGCTCCCTTTGGTCATCTCTTGGAATTCTCCTGCAACGGCCGCCATCGCCATCGGAGTAAAGATTGCACAGAAAATCTCAATCATTAATATTTGATGCAAAGTTCCCCCATGAATTTACCGTTGCTTTCCACACTGGCTAAAGATGTGAGGAATATATAAACCACCAATTGGGATCATTGAAGGCAGGACCATTATCAAGTGGATTGACTTCACCACCACAAGAAAAATATAGATTATATGCAGCATCTTGCCAAGAAAGAAAAGTCTCACTCTCAAATACATTTCAAATTACTATTGCCAAAACGGCCTTAATACTTTTGTTCCCTTCTAAATAATTATATCCGAGATTAACGCTTTGCTTAAGTATTCATGTCAAGATCTGTTAAGCCTCCTGAGGTCTCACAATTGCATTTTGCAAATATGGATTGGCTATTGCATTTCAGATAGTCCCAGAGCAGCACGGATGGCCCCTGACTTTTGAACTGCGGTTCACCGGGAAAGTAGAGGTGAAGCAACAATCTGCATGTCTCTTGGCGCTGACGCCCACATTGCTCTGCTGCTCGGAGAAGAAGAGAAAGCGGCGTGAGTTGTACCTCTCAGCCGCAGAACAAAACAAGCTACATATAAATGAGAACTCCCGGTCAATTAGCTCCGACTGTCATCATTGGACCCTTAAGTTCCCCTTCGGTGCACTCTGTGTGTCTTTTTCCCTGTTCTAAGTGCCCACATGACGCTGATCCTATGGCTGTAGGCCTTGATTAGCAGAGCGCTCTATATTGATTGAAGGCTGCTAAGCAAATGTAGCAGAGGCAACAAGTCAATACCCCAGTTAGTGCTGCTGTCACTCTGATGGTGTTCTCTATTCGGAAATTGAAATGGATTTAACCTCTTAAGGAGTAACGTGAAGTCCTACCCCTTCATTACAACAGTAACAGTTAGCACCCCACCTTTTTCTTCTCGTTCGCATAGCACAGGGGGAATCCGGTGTGCAATTTTAATGTACAGACATGGATTATTCAGCCTGACTATAGTCTCACTTGTAATGTCAGACTAAAGGGCTGTTGGAAGGAATTGGACCCATTTTTTCTCCTTTTCCTGTCACCCATGCGTTCACACAACCACTATTATGTGCGCTCGTCAGATTCACACTTTTTCATCCACGTATGCTTCAGACTGGCACGTACTTGTTAAACTAAATGTCTCCAGCGCGTTTGCAGGCTGAACTTTGAACTTTGGCTGACTTCCTCTTCCAGAGCCTGCAGAACTAGAGTGGCCAAGGGTCAAGTTCAAGGGAAGGTCCTTTGTAGTAACTGGTGGAAACTAAGATTTGGCCAATCTACAGACTTTTAGTGTGCCCTCTTCGACCTTACAGATAATGTAGTCTATCCATACAGTGTATAGGAATGTGGGGGCTAACAAGATTTACGTTTGTGTAATTTAAGGTGATCTAAAACTCTGGAATGATGAAGTGGGGTCATTCTTTTCCACACAGTATACATGGACTTATGTCCAATATATATAGCAAAACATACGTGGACACAGTAGTCTACATAATGCCATTACATAAACACAAACAAATCTTATATCTGAGGCCAGCTACTATAATTTAATACTAATACATGTCTTTAATCAAAACCAGAAGCTCTTTAAGTTGTGTACAGGTTTGAAATATTCCTTGGTTTTGTCTCATCCTCACTGCTTCCTAATTGGACGGAATAAATAAAAATCCTTGATACACAGACAATTAACTATTCTCCTCCAGCAAATCCCACTGGTGGTTGTTTTGCCAAAGAGAGGAACTATTTATTTTTTTGAAAAATGTGTGTGTTACTACAATCAAAAATATGCATTATTTTGAAAAATCATTATTGGTACAGTTGACTTCTTTCTAAACTCTAACATGGCTTGATTTGTGCAGTTTTTTACCATGACATTTTTGCTCAAGAAACAAATGATGCAATTTTATTAAGGACTGACCTCTTTATAACCTAAATTCTCAAGTATCCAGGATGTTTACATTAGTTGTAGCAAGGTATTACAGCAGACACAAACTATGATTCCTGGAAGTACTCTGTGCCTAAAAGTATCTATGACTCACAATCACTAAGACAGGCATTTCCAATTAAAATGTTCTATAAGCAAATCATTCAAATATCGAAAGATTGAGCTCCAAGGTCCAATACAACGGCCATTTTACTAAGACAAAATCTTAGTAGCTTTCAAAAGTGTTCTTCTAAATATATTTACTGCATAGTCCACTTTTGGTACAGTCGTATATGAAAAATGTGTAGGTGTCTGTGTGCACTTGAGTTTTGGCTGGTGAGCAGCGTTGCAACATGGTGTGCGCCTGGAGACCCACAGGATGCAAAGCTTAAGCCCACGCGGGATTTCAGAGCAAATATTTGGAGAGTCAA